TGTAAAATATTTAAATTATATGAAAATAAATGAACTTTTTTAAATACACGCATATATGTATATATAATACTATATTGTAAAATTATTTAAAGTGTGAGATAATATATATATGTGTGCTTAGCTAATATCTAATGTGTAAATTATATATATATATATATATATATATATATATATATATATATATATATTTTCTTAGCTAATATCTAATGTGTAAATAATATTATTTATATATATATATATAATGTGTAAATAATATATATATATATATATATATATATTTTTTTTTTTTCTTCCAGTAATTTAAATTTCTTTGAATCCATAAATTCTATATATATATATATGTTTGTGTGTGTATATATATATATATATATATATATATATATGTGTGTGTTTGTTTGTATGTGTGTGTTTGTATATATATATATATATATATATTCCTAATAAAATAAAATAAAACTTTAACTTAATTATAATAAAAAATAATGTTTTACTTTAATATTTAGTATTAAATCTCATATTATCTTATGTAAAAAACTATATATCTTTTTTTACATACATAAAAGATATTTTTTTGCAATAAAGACATGAATTTAGACAAAATTCTAAAAATTTAATACTTTCTTATAAACATGAGAAGAAAAATTTGAAGAAATATAGATGTATAATAGAAAAATTAAAGTTGAAATTGCTAAATGCAAAGAAAGTAGACTCTTATATTAAGATTAAAACTCAAAAAAAAGTTAATAAGTCTAAAATACAATAAAGGCCTCAATAAGACTTGTAATTACCTTAGTCTTGCCTCTATGTATATTTGTTGCAAAATAGACCTTAAAAAAGCTTCTTAAGGACTATAAGGCTTGAGTCTAAATATCTAAGTATTAGATTGCTTTAATAGCATTTGTTTTAAACTTAAGAAAGTTATAGGATACGTTGAAATATTTTCATGGCATATTAAAAAGAATTAAAAAATTTTAATCATATCTAAAAAACTTCTTTCATATTCATCATAAAATATATAATTTCTCTAAAATGTTGTTTACTATGTTGTCTCTTACTTTTATTTAGCAAAGTAACATAAGTTTTTATCATCATATATCAATATTAAAAGATCAACAGATAACTTTTTATAAAGATTTTTCTATATGTTTACTAGTAAATATATATAATATTAGACTAATTTTCTTTATTAATCCTAATATATTTTTACGTATTTTAAATACTATATTTTTTGTCTAAAAAAAGAACTTAAAGAATGTAAATAATTAAGTGAGACATTAATAAAAGAAAGAGAATATAATATATATATATTGAAACAAAAACTTAAATGTCTATTTCTAAAGACTAAAATTTTTAAAATACTTGAAAATAGACTACAAGAAAAAACAGTATTGTCAAAAGTAAAAAAGACTTTACTCTTGTTTCAATATATACTATCTAACTAGAATCTATGTAGTGATATTCTATAGGATTTCTAACACATGTCCAACTTTCCAGACATGAGTTTAACTTTCAACACAAGTTTTGTAATGAGTGTCACATGGCCAATTTGTACCATAAGTCACTAACATGTGGAATATATACCCAATTTTTTGGCCTAATTTTCTATCTTCCAATCACCTATAAATACATATAAAATCAAATCCGCATCTATAAAGCTTCTAAGAAGCTTGTCTATAAGATATTTTACTTACTTTTACTAACTTCTATATAATATACATATAATACATATGTATACATTATATATATATATATATATATATATATATATATATATCGATGACATTTATATAAGTCTCTCCAATAGTATTAAGTTATTATTTTTTGCAATTAGTATTTTGAATCTTGGACAATTAATATTTTTTTTGTTATATATATATATATATATATATATATATATATATATATATATATAAGAAATGAGATAAGTCTTTTTATTAGTAGATTTAAGAAGTAGCCAAACCTTTTGGTATAGTTTTAATCTACTTATTTTTAAATATTATCATTTAATCTTTTAAAATCTATAAATTAATCCATTGGAAATTTATGTTTTTTTTTAATTTAATTACTTAATGTTATAATTAATCTTTTAATAAAATTCTTGTATATTTTTAAAATAATTTTTAAAAATATATTAGATGAATTAATAAACTATTTTTTATCTTATTAATTAAAAGGATATAGCTAATAATAATATAAAATTTTATAAATCCTAAAAAATTATAATAATACTAATAATATTATATATTTATATTTATATTTATGATATAAATTTATTTATATTATATAAATAAAAAAATAAAGAATAAAGGTGCTACTTCTTATCTAACTTACAACATAAACTAAAAATTATAGATTAAGAGAATAAAGCTTTTTCCGTTTTAATAAAAGAAATAAGATTTAAGAAATTAGAGACTTATTTTATTATATTTGTTAAGCCTTATTCTAAAGATTTAACATCAAAGGGACTTATAAAGTAGATATTGGCATTTATTTTCATTTAATTATCTGTTTTATTAATTATGAAAAATATGACATAATTTTATTGAATATTTTTGAATAACAATAGCATAACATTAATATGAATGTCATTCAAAAAAATTTATTTCAAACAATATTTTTTGAAAAATATGCTATTGTTGAATGTTATTTTTTGAATAACAATAGAATAATAATAATAAAAATATGATAATAGCATTTTAAATATATAAAAGAATAGAAATTTTTGTATTTATGCATACTTTATTAATACAAGGTTTTTCATAATTAATTATTATAATCTCATTGCTATTTAAATTTAAAATCTGATAATTTATTTCTTTTTTATTGGATTATTTACACTGCTTTGTATTATAATGATTTTTATGGACATGATAGTAGTATAATAAAAGAAAAAATAATTTATTAAGAAAATCATTAGAAGTTAGATAACCTATTCCTAACCAATATTGTGTTATAGTGTCATTTTACCATATCTATCAGTATATATCTATTATTATTTACTAATGCTATTCAAAATTTTAAAATATATTTTGAAAAAATAAAATTATATTATACCATCATTTTGAAATTAAAAATTTCAATCTTATAAATGATAAATATTTTAAAGTTTAAATCTAATCTTTAAGCCAAACTATTAATTGTCTTTATCTTAAAGCATTTATTAATAATAAAATTAATTTTAATCATTATTTATATGAGATTAAAACTAAAATTATTGAATAAAAATATATTATGAATAAAAGCATATTTACATATATATATAAATATATATATATATATATATATATAACCATATATAACTAAAAAATATTCAATTATAATTAAAAATCAAATTATATAAGAGTTTGAATTAAATAAGTAAAATATATGATTTTTATATATATTAAAAGAATATAAATTATTGCTACAAAATACACATTTTTTAAGTTATTAATAAGAATTTAAGATAGTTTAGAATGATTTTAAAGATATTTTTTTTATTCTATTACCATTATTGTGTGATTACAAGCAACATAAATTTAATGCAATTAGTTCACCTAATTATTGATATTACTCAATTTATCTACTAGTCAAATATATTTTTTAAATCTAAATTCATTATAATAATAAAGAATATGAAAAATAAATAATTAAATAATTAAATAAAATAAAATCAATCATAATTTTTTTTTATGTAGCTTTCAATATCTAAGATATTAACTACTAAAATGCTTTTACTTTGTTTTTAAGAATAATAAACTTCTTACAAATGCTAGCTCTTTTTGTCCTTCTTTTAAGTTATAGTTCTCTAAAGCATTCAACAATTTTTTTTTCTAATTTCAGAAAGACCCTAACATTGTCCCCTATAGACTCTAAGTTGTTGCAAAATATATATATGAAAACAAACATTTAAAACTTCTATAATATTTATTAAATAAAAGAAAAGAAAAGAAAATAAAATAAATCACGGTTCCTTCCTATCCTATTTGAAAAGAGAAAATTTTCCAAATCAGCTGTAATTCTGTGTTGCACACAGTTTGAAGAAGTGGACACGAAAAATGTCCCCAGAACATTCAAAGAATTCCAAATAAATGAAGCCCTCATTTCATTTTATTTGTATGTAATTGCAATTATTAACTTTCAAAATGGCAACATGCAGAGTTCTACTTTACTTTCGACGCACCAGGAATCCTCGTGGAAAGCAAAAAGGGGGATAAAGCAAAATCTAGAGCTACGCATGTGATTGATAAAGAGTAGACTGATGATTCACCACAATAGCTGTTTCCATCAACATGCTGGAAGGATTATCCACCACAATAGCTGTTTCCATCAACATGCTGGAAGGATTATCCACCACAAACAAATGCTGCTTCCGATTCAGGCCGCATTCGATTATCCCGCTGCAAAAGTGGGTTAGTCCAAATCCCTTCTTCAGGGGGCGAGTGAATGAGTGCAGGATGATGGAAAAGGTAAGCTTCTCAGCCTGGAAAGGTTCATCCCCAGACCCCTTAAAGCCTCACATTTGTCATTGGGTTCTACAAGCAACGGCGACACCCATGACTGGTTCTCATATACAAATGTGGTTTGGCTTTATCCGCCTGGAATAGGCGCCGAGCCTCCATGACAGACCAGCAGAGGCATCCCATTCCAACAGAATTCTGCCATGTGTTGCAAATGCCGTCTTGTGAATTGCTGCTTCCCACGTCATCTTGCTATGCTGCCCACCTAACCTCCCCGCCCGAGCTTCCCTCATGGAATTCTGCTTATTTAGACTGGTTTTCGCACCGCAAATTTCAAACTGTAGTTGTTTTGACCTCATTCAAGAGTGTGACACTGACTTATCTTGTGCACTATTCCCTCGACTTTCTAGACTAACAATGGCGCTTTCGTCGGTATCCCGGTGCCTTGTCCTCGTGTTGGTGATGCTGGCAGTGGTGCCTCAAGCGTATGCCCAGGTAACAGCATTTCTGATGGAGAGGAGTGTCAGCACTAGAATTGCATCGTAGTGTTCCCTGCACACGCATGACTCAGAATTCAGCTCAGTGCCGGAGCCTATTTCATGGTTTCTGGAATCCATTTTCAAATGACATAAGCAACTCCATATAAGTCCTAGGAGTTGCGCAGGGCAACTGTGGCCAGAGGGATACCTGCCACGTTTCATGAAGTGTAGTAGATATGCTCTCGCTGTCAATGTCTATGATAGTCACATATCACCCTAATGCTCAAGGCCTGACGACAGTACTTGTCTCATATCTTACTCGCATGATATCGCCTAAGAAGTAGGAATTACTTGACATGGGAGCTGATATCTTTGTCCTCTGCAGAATTGTAATACCACCCTGCTCGCTGCGGTCAAAGCCGATCCCAGGCTTCAGCAGCTTGCCGCAGTTATCGAGGCGGCCGGATTGGCGGATACAGTGGAGAGGCTTGTCAACGTCACCGTAATTGCCCCAGATAACAATGCTTTCAATGGTACCAATGGATTACTCTCTCTTCTTCGACAGAACAACCTCAACCTGACTGACGTTACTGCCCCGTAAGTGACCGCATTGGTTTTCTTCCTCTGTGATCCAAATCTCCAAAGTTGAAGGCTGAAGGGTGCTCGGAGTTTTGAGTGCTTTTAACCATCCATTTGATAATTCAAGTCACCACTGTAAACTAGGGTGGATGCAAGGTGGACTAATGTAGTCGTGCTGTCATGTCAAATCCTTACAACAGAGGACAGAATCGTGCTGCCAGCATCCTGCTGTATCACATCATTGCGGGTCCTGCTAGAGCCGCCGACCTCAAGAACAACCAGGTCTTGACCACCTTCCTCGGACCAAACTACACACTGCGAGTGAACAAGCAGACCGCTCCCACCCTCATTGTCTCTTTCGTCGGAACTGGAAGCAACGCGACTGTCACCGCGGCCGACGTCCCAGTCTGCAGTTCCATCGTGCACGTTGTCAACAATGTGTTGCTGCCCGCTACCAATTTGACAGCCATTCCCGCCTACACCGCCCCTGGTGCTGCTCCAGGCTCTCCTCCCGGTTCCATGGTTCCCACACCCCCGGGCTCCCAGGCTCCTTCCGGTTCCGGTGCTTCCTCGCTCAGTGTTGGGTCCATGGCCTTCGCACTCTCTGTCGCCGTGGCTGCCGTCCTGATGAACTAAGCTGCATGGGCCTGTTCTGTTCGATACCCAGCGTACACACAGTCTCTGAGTTTAACTGTTGTTTAGGAGTTCTATCGGAGAGTAGTGTAGCTAGCAGTCCGACATTGTGTCTAGATTGATGGGATTGTATCCTTTCTTTGTTTCTTTCTTTCGGTCTTGTTTTTGCAGATTGGATTAGGGGTCTATGGTTCTGGTCTTCTCGACTCTGCCTGTCCGCATGCTTGTACAATGGCGGTTGCCACATTTACCTTGTAAATTTGACATTCTTCCACGCTGTCACAACGGCACTTTTCCTCGCCTCTCCCCTTGCCTCTTGTCACAGTGACCGGTCCTTCCTTACAATCCCAATGAATGTGTTTACCGACGTGTTCGCGTCTGTACCATGTGTCTGTGTAGGCAGCTTGTGGACATGAAGCACCTTCTTACAGTTCTCTACATCGATGATCTCCTCAATAGCATTCTAGAGCAAGACATACCTTATTTTGAATTGAGATCAGTCATATTTGTATTCTGCCCATTATGTTGGAACACAATATTGCCAGCGCACTATTATTCTAATATATAAACATGTTGAAATATGCAAGCAGAATAACGTTGGATTATAGTACAGTGGGGGGGGAGCACATATTCTTGACTTCTTTTCAATTCATCTCTCTTAGATTTTCAACTCTCTTATTCCTTTAGATTTTGCAGGACAACGACTAAGTGTTGAGAATACTTCTGCTAAGATAAAAACTTCTAATCGTACTTCAAATCGCAGCATACTAATAAGGACAACCCTATGGATGTTAACATGTACAATAATTTCGTACATACTGTAAAAGCCTTGAGATAAAGAAAACGGAAGAGTGACTACTATAACCATAATACGTGAATTGATAATATCAATATTTCTCTAACTCTCATCTCTAATTGTGACATTACGATTTCACCTGATGTAGTATAGTAAGCAAAATTCTGAAAGATAGATTGGTTATAATTACTAATAAAAACTATATTCCAACACAGTTCTAATTACTGTACTAAATGTACTTGTGTGCATGTAGAAATTATGATTCTGATTTTCTGTAAATAAAATAAAAATGTCCCTATATTTATATTTATTGTACTGAAATCTTCCCTGCATTTTTTCTACCAATCAAATCAGCACTTTCACAAGCAAGTTTGGTTACAGGTACTATTTCATTTCTTCAAATATTAACATAAAATTTATGAAAAGTTAAAAATTCGAGGATGATTTTTTTTAAATTAAAATTATCTATGACACAATTAAAATTTGGCAAGTTGTGTTGCAGTAAAAAAAAATAGACACCAAAGTTGTAAAAAAAAATAGACACCAAAGTTGTAAAAAAAAATAGACACCAAAGTTGTAAAAAAAAATAGACACCAAAGTTGTAAAGAAAAGGATATACAAATGACTCAAAGTAGGATATACAAACTTGATTGACTGTGCTTTTAAAGATAAATGGAACATTGAATAAAGAAAAGGACACAATATTTTACTCATATATTATCCACTTTATAATTATAAATATATACATATTTATAATCATATACATTAATTAAGTATAATTTTATTTGGTATTAATACAAATTTGATTTAGTAAATCTAATGTTGTATGTGCAATTTGGCTCTTAGAAAGATAGAAACAAATTTATATTACTTGGATTTATTTTTATCTAAGTTTTATGATTCATTAAATCAAACTAAGTTTTATAATTAAAAACCTGGATGTAAATACCAGAGGAATTGGTTTAAGACATGTAAATATATTTTTAAATACAAAAAATAATACCATAAATAAACTCAATATTTTTTTCTTTTATAATATCATAGAAATCATTTATTCTATCTAAATGTAGATTTAAATGGAACTTAATCAACAATTTACATATAAATATTTAAATCTTTACTTAATAATGCAATATGAAGTAAACAAATTGAATACAAAATATTTGAAGTAGATGCAAATATTTATTATTTACATTTAATTTGTATTACGACATTATAACACCATATAATATTCGGCACGATGGCATTAAAGTAATGTTTAAGAATAGTATGTAATTCTAAAAATATAATATTTTATATATAAAATGTAATACAATTTATGAATTTTTCTCAAATTCCTCTACAAAAAATTACTTAATGAGGTGGTCATTTAAGTAATTAATAAAAGATATTATTATTCACAACCATGATATCTTGTATAGTTAGAGTAATTGTCATTTTAAATAATGATCATAAAGTATAATAGAACACTTGGTTGAGTTAGACATAACAAAAAGATATAAACAATATTTACAATTAAGTCCATTTTTTATTCTTTGATTTCTACAAGAACATTATAGTATTTGAATAATTAATTCCACTACTGCTTTATAAACACATGTAAATAAAATAGGAAAAAAGTGCACCATGAATTATAGTATGGACGTCTTTTAAAGCAAATATTATTTGGCAAACATAAGATTGAGCCAATTGATCAAAATTTAATACCACTAATAGAAAAGATTTTTATTTTATTTACCTTTTTTTGAATTTTTTTTTTTTAACTACTTAACACTATTTGGATTTATTAAATGCATTGCTCTTTCTTTAAACTAACATAATTGAATTACACACTAACTGAAGTCCAAATATTTGGTCGCAGAAACCTTCCACGATCCCAGCCGTCAGATCTCAAAATTTAATCCTGGCCGTTACATGTATCTCGGGGGAACATGTCCAGGCGGGCAGGAGATGGCCCCGCAGCCCGGAGGACAGGGAGCCACGGGCATCAGAGTTCCTCCAAATTTCAAGTGCTTTCAAAGATTAATGTGCTCATTTTGTGGAAAAAAAAAAAAAAAAAAAAAAAACAAGCGAATTGAAATATTTGGGAAAAAAAAAATGTTTCAAAATGGCTGCTGCCCTTGAAAATTTAGAGCCTCACTATCCTGATTTCACAGGCTTGCTGGTAACTACACTTGTTTGTTTCTTCTACTAATTATGGATATTAATAAATGAAAAAAGAAGTTCTCACAAGTATAATCTTGACATGTTTCCCATCGTGTATGTTGTTACACTATGAGAAAGGGTTTGCAACGTTAATCATACAAATTACACAGAGATGTTTATTTGTAGCTTTTGGTATTTAAAAGTACAAGTAACAGTAATACAATCAAGTACGAAAGCATAGGCTAATTTGTTTGCTACCCTAACTCAATTAATGCCAAACTAAATGTACTCCAATTTAGAAAAACATCTTTTGTATGCCAAAAATATAATTGTTATATAACAACTCCACTACATGTAGTATATCATGTGCAGAAATGAAGTCATTGATAAGAACTAGTTTGGATTCAAATAAATAAATCATTGCTTATTTTACTGTTCATGTATTCAATGTAATGGTAAATATCATTTTGAGCAATGCAACTTCCCATTTGAGTGGTATTTGCCATACACAAGGTGTAGATTTTCTTTTTTAATGGTTTTGACTAACCAAGTTTATAGGAAGGGATTGAAGCCACCTTAAAAGCAACCCTATTCTACATCTTCCATTTGTATTGACCCGAGTGTGCAACTAACCCAAGGTCAATTGGTTCGCATCACATATAGTGTTTGTGAACCTCAGCTTTGCAGTACAATGCAAAGTTTTGCTTGATCTGTAATACCAGTCATGTTTCATTCCAAACTAGGGTTTATCTTTGGGTATCTTAGAACCAGTGATTGTGATTTATAGAGTGTGCCTCTTTGGACTTGCACTTTGGACTAGGTGCTGTACTCAGGGAATAAGTTAATTAGGTCATGTAGTCCTCCAACCTGCCCTCCTGCCCGCTCTCCAACCTGCCCCATTGGTCCTCCTACGCTCCCTCCGTCCGTTCTCAGGAGTTCCCAGAGATCCGATCGGCGGTTGAGATCGAATCTGCGGTGGAGCTGGAGTAGAGCCGCAGCAGGCACCGATCGAAGGCAATTCCCCAAAGAAAGGGTGCGATCTCGCATCGCCGTTTTGCTCACCCAGCCCAGTTCAATCGTTGCTTGCTCTCTCGCAGTGTAATCTTTCGCTCTCTCGCTCTCTCTCTGAGTAGCAGTCATGGCCAGTTCTGCCACCGCTTCCGCCGTTCGCCGGCTGGTTTCCAAGGTCGCCACCACCGCTCCCACTTCTGCTGCCACATCTGGTACCGTCGTTTCTCACGTTTTCTCTCTGTTGGGTCCTTACTGCATTTGTTGGTTGCGACGTTAGGAAACCCAGAGTTAGAAACTCTGTCGCATTTTCGAGTTGGATTTCCCTTGAATTTTTTAACGCTGACTTGAATGGACTTTATGGGTTTCAAGTTTAATGTTGTTTAGGTTTTCTTGTTTTGTGTCTGCTGCTAGTTTCCCGAAAATTTCGACAATTATGTGTTACTGGTATTGGTTTCTAAACTTGGATTTTCTAGGGTTTTGACTCTTGTTTTCAGTAATCACAACACTCTAGCTTGTTGTAGTGAACTTGTAGATCGGTTCTGTGGAGTTAAGTGTATTCTAGGTCTTTATCTCTAGTAACCAATTTTGCTGCTAAGTGTATTTAGTTTCATCGTTTGCATGTGATGTCTTCATAGCATAACCTGGTGAGACTGTATTTCACTAGATAGCTACGTCGGTGATGCACGAATCAGTCACCGTTGAAATATCCAAAATAGGGCTTGAGTGTTCAGGTTTCTATTCTGAGGCGTCTTAGCTTCTCAGTGCTCTGCCGGTATTCGCTAGTTTAATTCACACTCCACGTGCTTTTCTAAAAAGTTTACACCGCTGATTTTTGTCTTCCCATGCTATTATCTATCAGCCTGTGTGATATCTGCTCTGAAACACATGGCGGTCAACGATATCAGCATATTGTCGATGCTGATATGCTTTCTGTATTCGCAGGTACCAGGCAGTTTCACGCTACGGGGGCGAAGAGGTATAGCAACGATTACATCCATGCCGATCACATGTACGACATTACCGCGATGAAGAACCGTAAGTTGAAGATGGCTGTTGGTACCTTCGGCGCTCTGGCAATCGGTATCGTGGTGCCTATCTGGGCTGTGCAGTTTCAAATGAAGAAGCAAGGTGGTGGTTTGTGAACTTAGCCAGTTCAATAATATCGTTGCAGCCAGCTTGATGGCATGCTCTGAACCAGTAACTTTAGAGACAGAGTTCTCTCTTTCTGCCAAGAGTCTAACTGTGGACTTGATAGTTACTAAATAATCATTAAATTTCTTTCCTTCTCAGTACTACACACGCTGCTTGATTGAATGTGATAAATGATGGATGCCTCGCTTCTTTGTATTTCAACTTTGTTGAAGCTTTGCCATAGCTGCATTTGTTTGGGTGAACTGAAGATGGTTTTGTGCCTGTCAGACCTTCCGTCTGTGATAAGCTTGCCTTAGAGCATCACTGATGTGGGTTTTATATGTTTTAGTTTGAAGTTTGATTTCGCTAGGGTTGTATTTGGGGGTTTGGACCCCTTAGGTCCATTGAATCCTATTCTGATCCGCTTTAGCACAGCGTGTTTCGCTACTACATTTGATGCTGAAGTTAATCAGGGTTTCCTCATGGATGTTATTCATGCATACTTTCGAATTTTATTGGGTTAATCTTTTGCAATCTCCGTAGCATGGAAGTTGCCAATGAACAATTTCGTTTACTCCTGTTGATGAAGGGTTAACTATGCATGCCCGAGTGCATGATGAGGTGAAAGGCACAACTCCACCGATTGAAGTGGTGTTGTCCATGCATAAATGTTGAGATCATTGTTATTTTGTATTGAAATAATTTGGATTTAAAGTTTTGAATCTTGAAATGAAAAGACGATCTGAATTGTAAACATTGATTTAAAATTTCATAAAATTTAAATCAATTTTCTTCAATTCTGTACAACAATCCCAGAAAAAAATGATTCTAGTTAGAAAACAAATCTTGCGAATTACCTCTTACTAAGTCTTCGAATCACACACTTTCAAGGAATAAACTTAATTCAGGAGAGAAGACCAAATCTAAGTCTCTAAATATTATAACAACAAGGAATCGATGTTGTACATGGCAAGGTTCTTCATATGACTTGTCACAAATACTATCACCTATTTTTTCTTGCCTGAGTGAGATTTTGTTGCTTTTGTTGACACAAAATGTAAGAGCTATAAATTTGAATATGCTATTTGAATTTTAAAATAGTTTTTTTTTTTTTTTTTTTTTTTTTTTTTTGTACATATAAAATTGAATGAAACAACGGGATAAAATAACAAATCATATTAATAGTTAAGATTATTTTAACAGAAATATATATTAAAAAAAAAAAAAAAAAAAAACACACACACACACACACAACAACAACAACAATATTATGTTTAGAGGTTTTTGATAGTTAATAAGTATATTTGAAAATATTGATTGGGAAATATTAGACAACATAGTATACTAATCTTGTTAAGTAAGATCAAGCAAATGCAAAGTTCACAAACTCATGAATAAACACTCCGAATTTAACATTTTTTTTTGTACTTTGTTATGTTTATTAAGTATATAAGTATAATTTGAATGACAAGATATTAATAATTACTATTGATTTCATAACTTCTATAATTAGTTAAGATAATATACCTTAAATTATTTTTTACTTTGTGTAATATAAATTTATTTTTAAGAGACTTTATTTTTACAGTACTAAAAAAAATTTCAAAAGCACTAGGCTAAAAGTTTACATTAATATAGAAAAAAAATTATTAAAAAAATTATTTTCATTTTTATTTTTATTTTTATTATTTTACTTTTATTTAAATTTATAATTTAAATATTTATAATTACATTTTGAAATCTTAATACATTATTTTATTTATGCTGTATAAAACTTAATTGTACTCATAGTAGCATGTAATTTTTTTAATAGTTTAGAACTAATATTTTGTAAAGTGTTTTGTAATTTGTTATATATATATAAATTGTAACTATATATTTATTATTATTAATTAATTATAGTATGATAATAGTAAATAAAAACATATCATATTATATAAACAAGTACCATTTTGAATTATTTATGTTCTTGTTCAACAACAAAGTGACAATTTAAGGTATTAAAGTAAAATTAGATGGGAGGGTGGAACCAAAGGATGATTGAACATAGCTTGATGAAATCACAAAGGAATAAATTGTTTTGGAACTTGTTTATTGAACCCAACAATCTAAAGTAAGTCCAGGTAGATGGAAATCAATTAGGTGAAAGTACAAGCAAATGAATTTTTGGGATTTCTCTGCAAAGGTTGATAAATAAAAGCAAGATCAATATAATTGAAAATGAAGATTTAATACCAAGATCAATATAATTGATTGTTGTATGGCACATTGGCAGCAATTTTGCACCTAATGCAAATAGATGTGAGTTCAAACGTTGTTTAAGTCACATCATAGTTTCACCCCACCCCCTCAAACCTTGATTGGCTCTGCTTCCAGCAAAAGGCTTTGTGGCACCATCCCAGAGGGCTGCCACAAAGTGAGATCATCGGTATAGTTTTTTTATCGACACATATCCACAGCTGGACTCAGCATCGCCATAGTGTCCAAGCGTCGATTCAACAATTCCCCTAATATATTACCCTTCAGATAGATGCATAAAACAATAGCATACCATCAGTCAATGTATATATTGTATTGTATTGTTAGGTAGGTGGGTACCAATATGTTAATGGTAATATCGATCTTCTATCTTATTTTTATTTTTACGAAGGATAACTTTGATCTCGGAAGCGCTGACTATTGGTGTTGGATTAGTTCCGGCATGAATGGCGTGCGAAGTCCGCTTTCGTGAGTGGAGACACTGCGGGGCCCCGCCAATCGAAGCAGCAGCAGCAGCTCGGTTATTAATAAAGAGGAGATGGCATTGCTCATCTACTGAACAATGAATTTGTATGAGAGTGTGTAAGTGAGTGTGTGTGGGAGGGGAGGGAGGGAAGGAGGGAGGGGTGAGCCAGTGGAGATGTAGAGTAGAGTAGAGTAGAGTAAACAGACACATTCACTTACTTGTGAAGGAGAGACCGGGTCTTTGGTGTCCATACACATAACGTAACATAACAACATGGGGAGGTTTGTGTTTGCCAGTGCTGGTGACACTTGTGCTCTTCTATTATGTCGCACTGAGTGTGATGAGACTTCCTCTCGCAGTCATCGCCGCTGAACATGCAGCAGGGGAGGGGTCCAAGATCGACAATGTCGCGGTGCAATGGAACGCTCTCTTCTCCACTATTATTTGTAGCACTCCATCCGTGGTTGTCGACACCAACATCATCTTCGTCCAGTTTCAGCTCGCGCAGTGGCACGCTTTAATCGCTCACAAGACCACCGGATCCTGCACAAGCCAAGAGATCGTGGTAGCATATGCCAGCCACAAGGTCCTGGCCAATTATTTCCCGTTTCAGGTAGAAGAGCAAATCGACCCGCTTCTGGTGCATCAGCTCAAGGAGCTTCGCTCATCGAAGGCGGAACAGAAGCTTGGCAAGCAACTGGGGGAGGCGGTGGCGCTCGACCTCATTAACAAACGCAATCCCGGCCGCGAATCCGCCCATCAAGCGCTCAAGGATGCTCTCGACTCCGAAGCCGACGCTCCTCGCCCGGGCATTTACCGCTACACCAACAACACCCAAGCTGGTCGGGACGCCGCCACTTTCATCTTCTACAATCTTCCAGTTGTGCAACCTTATGTGGTGCCGGAACCAACTGTTTTCATTGAAAAATATTTGAGCCACTTGAAACCACCCAGGGTGCCATCATACGAGTGGGACCAAGAATACGAGAAGTTGGTGAACGTTGGAAGATCTGGGTGGCCAGGTCGCACAGCAGAAATGAACAACACCGTTGCCCTCCTCTCTTGCCCGAAGCTGAACACTCTCACGTGCTGGCCTGCTGCGACCTGGAGCATCATCCTCAGAAATACTCTCCCCAAACAGACATCTCTCTACGATACAGTCACCATCCTCGCAAAGCTCAGTGTTGCTATTCACGACGCGTTCGTGGTGGTGGGCACGCTCCAATATGGCTTCTGGTCCACGCCTTCAGGGCCGGCGATGCTCGCCACGCTCCCATCCCAGACTGGGACTCGTATCTCTCCACTCCAGTCCATCCAGAGTACCCGAGCGGCACGGTCCTCGTGGCCGCTGCCGCAGCTGCTGTTGTGCAGAATTTCTTCGGCAAAGGCGTGGAGGTTCGATTGGTTTTCCCCGGCACGGGGGTGTTGGGTCCAGGGTGCCCTGTTCAAGGAGCAGTTCAGGAGAGGAAGTTCAGCTCTTTGCAGGAGCTGGTAAGAGCTTACCAGAATGCCCGTGTGTGGGCAGGCGTCCACTTTAATATCTCAGTCGTGGATGGGTTGGAAGCTGGCGAAGCAGTAGGCCAGTACGTGGATGCGCACTGGGCAGGGCAGCCACCGTCCGGAGTGCTGCCGAGCCCCACTTATCTGGAGGTGCACGCCAAGCTGCCAAAGACTCAAACGGGCTACGATCCCACCAGACTTGTTTTCTAATACTTGTTCCACATTGCCGGCAACTCGTCGATCACAACCACGACAAGCAAATGCCGAGAATGACCATGAATGTTCTTGGCACAGGATCCCAATGCGGGACCTGAGTCAAAGCGAAACGGCATCAATAACAGCAATGTATGTCTTCATTCTGGCAAAATCCATGAGCTGTGAAATCAGAAAGCTCGACTGAGACTGAGCTGATCTCACTCCGGCGCCAAGTTCTGAGATCGGTTTAACATTACACCAATACCAGCTCTTGTGTTACGTTTTGAATGTGAATTTTGTTTGAATTTTTAAACATTGTTTGTATTAATGTAATTTAAGTACTTGAATTTTCTTTCTTAATTTGGTACTCTTGGATCATGCTACACCCCTTTCTTCATCCACAAACTTAAATTACATTAAATTTCTTCATCCACAAACAGATTTCGGGCAATTTCAACAAACATTTATTTATTTATTTATATAGCATAAAACAGCTTGGGTATAAGACAAAGAGACGAAGAAGTCTTGGGTATAAGACAAAGAAGTCTTCTTATTGGAAGAATAACTTGTAGAATAACACGAGTTTTTGCTAGTATATTAATAAAAATATTAATTATAATTTTATTCACTTAAATATTACTTGTTTTCTATTTCAACCATATTATTTGTATTTCATTATCATTTCAGTTTTTATGAAAGACACAAATCTGCATGTACTTGTAAACAATAGTAATCATTAGACCAAAACAATCACTAGGTAAAAAAATGTTAAAAAAAAGTAAAGATACCGGTGACAAAGTCAAAAGTTAGCATCTATCGAATAGTATACCTTTAATGATGAATTGCGAGAAGGTTCACTTGAATTTCTAGAAAATATAAAATATATGCACAAGGTGTGAAATATCTCCTGATCCTCATTCAAAACTAATTCTTTCGTCACGAAAAGCAATAAATATTTATTACTCTTTCCTACCAATTCTTTAAAAATGTATATATTACACTTTCTCATTTAATTCTTAAGTTAGTCTTTTTAGCTTTGTCCCTATCAAACATTGTTGGTTTGTAGAAGGTGGCCACATACCAGCAATGTTTGATAGGGACAAAGCTAGCATACCCAAAAAAGCAATGCAAGATTAATTCAGGTTCACTTCAAATTAACGGAATAAAATTTCTTATCCATCTTCATTTGTCTAGATCATGTTAATTGAAAAGTGAGTTCAACCAAGACTAGTATCACGTGAGGGTTGACAGTATAGTGTTGAATGGTAGGTGGAGATGAATTCAACTCAGAGTAGACTATTTGAGTTAATCATCTCTGTATGTATCTTGCATTTCTCTTATTCGATTTTTTTACTCTTTTTTATATTCTTAAGATTTGAATTTCTACACTTCATACATTTAATTTATGTGTCAAAATTGAAAATCATTCCAATTTACAAAACGACACATTTTAATTTGAATTGCTTGCAACAATTTTCATATGTTTTTATAGTACTTGCATACATGAACAACATATATCTTTATATATATATATATATATATATATATATATAGTTATAGTTATAGTTATATTTACGAAACATTATTTTTTAATTGTTTTTTAATTTGTGCATATAATATGTGTGTATCTATATAATAAAACAGTTTGGGTAGTGAACCCAGACTCTCTCTCACAGCATTTGTTATGATCTGGGTGCCAGCGGGCTGGGCAGCACCGAGACAGGTGTATGCATGGATGAAAACCTGCGCTTAAGGTACCGTTCAAAGGGTGATTGTGCCCAACCACAAATGAAGATGGATAAGAAATTTTAATCCGTTAATTTGTTTTTCCATTTTCTAGTTTTCTGTTAAAGGTGTCCGTGTATATTTCGTCACATCTTTAAACTACTTCAAGATCTGGGTAATCGAAATCCACTCCATACTTTCGAAACCTTGTATATCAAAAATTCCCAGGAATTTGCAGATCTTGTGATTCACTTTAGTCTGGATACATTTATAGGATGCGTCTCTTCTGGCCAACAAAAACTTGGTTGAAACTCAGCAACGTTGTCACTCCTGTTGATGCTGTGCATTGATAATTGCAGCGCAATTTATTGAATAGCACCACTGATTTGACAGGCTGAGGAGCATCCACCCAACTACGGATTTGCTGGTTCGACGCAGGAGAGATCGGTTACTCTTGAGTGTCGTGAAGGATAGAGGCAATCCCTAGAAAGGTATGAAATCATACTGGCCTGTGCTGCTGGTATTAAAGGCATCGATACGAAAGACATTGCAGTGGGCTCGCGAATAGAAACCAGCTGACATCAACTGTGAACACGGTGTCAATCAGCCACAAGAAATGTGCAGAACATAGAATTTTCAGGTCACACACGACCACACCAGACTGAGATATGTTACGATGCGAACTTCAGAAATAAAGTGAAAATGCAACACTTAAGAGAGGTTGACCAATCGGAAGCACAAATGATTCCGTAGCCTGATTTTAGATCTCGTCAGAACTGAAAGTTGCTTCTGAGGATGCATACACTTCATGACAAAGTGCCGGTTTACGTCTGCAGCACCCACCAACAAAGACATAAACCGATCTACAGCTTCAGGTGAACACCTATTAAGACCATTATTTTCTACGAGTAAGCACTGGACGCAGGTTTGACACACCAGGATTCTGCTTAAGCTTTGGCTTCCTCCCTGAAAAACTCCACAAAATATACGTCAGCACCATAAAAACTTGGCCAGATCCTTTTTACCGCTGATAAGGACATAAGATATTCACGAGAGCGCGACATGAAGTTAGGCAAGCATGACCTGCATTGCCAGTAGGCCTGGAAATCAAGACAACTGCGCGTAACTGAAGCATTTGGTTACGTCAAAACTCACTAAAGATTACCGAATAGAAATAGCCCAAACTACATAAATCTTACACATAGGGTATAAGATCCCAGCTGCACGGAAGACAGGGCAATGACCTCTCTACCAAGGCATGGACATGTTATATGCATACCAAATGGATCCAAATATGACTGCAAAAAAATGGGAACACATGAGAGATGCTTCAGGCAAAACGCACTTTCATTTCAAAACGCAATTTAATACGGGGTTAACAAGATACTCGTAGTGCAAAGGTACTACTGTATGAACTTACAAAAGCTCCTGAACCGTGTCTTTTAGCTTATTCGAGTCTGCTCCACTGAATCCTGAGACCATGTTGCCCTTAAGGTGGAATTGAAAAGAGGGCTGTCATTTACAATACAGATGAGTCTCAAAATTAGTTCCTGGCCAGCAAGCGTATAGAAAGTACCCGAAAAAATCTGCGGTAATTTAATATACACATATGCATTACATGAGTAGAATGAACTTTAAATCTACTTTTATATGATCAATCAAAGTTTATCACACGGAACGTACCACAGCGGCAATGCCCGCCATTTCAATAGTCTTTTGAAGCTCTGGCTGCAAAGCCAAAAAGGTTCGTATCAGATATCTCCTCACAGTTGCCTAATGAAGTGCAACCACGTCTTTTGACAAATTTAAGAAGCAAAAAATTCAGTGCACATTAACTTGTGGATGTACCTCATCCAAATCAACTTTCAAAAATTTGACATCACCAAACTCCTGACTTAAGGTATTCACCACTGGAGATATGTGTCGACCTGTCACAAATCGAGCCACAAATCTTTGACTTCGTTTACTGCTCGAGCTAAACAATTTGGCAAACACAAAAAAATATATTGTATAAAGCCAGCCGATGCAGATGCTTTGGAATATGTTACATTAACTGTTTGACTAGACAGCTTCTATATTATGATGTCAGACTTTACGGGTATAGATGCAGTAAGTGCTTTCTACACACACACTTTCAAGCTGACTTACAGGGGCCACACCACTTGGCTGTAAAATAAACCACGGCGAGCTTTTTGTCTTCTGCAAAACCATTTGTAGCATTTTAATTAGTTTAGTGTGCAACCAATTAAATGTCATGGGTCTCAAGTACATGGTCTAGTAGATGCAACACTCCTATTAACTTGTAGTGAATAAAACATGAACCAGTAAACAAAGAGATCATAATTTCTCGGAAACCACACTATTTCGTCATCTGCACGCCAAATTACAAGGGCAAGTATAAGATGAGACAATTTCAATCTAGGAAAACTTCTAAAAGCAATTGTCTCGCTGAATAAATTCACAACAATAGAAACAACAGAACCACCTAAACATTTAAAATTTAAAATTTAAAAATTAAATAAATTGAAAGGCCACAAACACAAGGTTGCTACGTGTTGAAATGACACACTAAACCCTCTCAGCAGGATTGCTAGAAATCGCTAAACCTTTCACTAGTAGTGATTACCCAAGGGTAACCAGCAACTTTAAACACCAACCACAAGGTAATTTTTCTTCGAATGCTATAAGAAATCGCCCTTGAAAGGAATCCGTTATCATTTCTCAAAAAACCACAGTCAGGTCAACAGCTAGTTGTTTTTACCTTTGGCTTCATTCAGCAGCCTCTTGTATTCATCCGCGGTTGACACCTCAATAACTGCAGAAGTTCCACCTGATCACGACATACGATGTCAAACCGCATCATGAGTATATTGATCTCAGACCAAATCGGATCGACAAAGCTTAAACCAACCCTAGCACAGTGATGTACACAGACCTGAATTCAGCCAAATTACGATGAGGGAACTATGAAGAAAGTGTTCACAACTATATACATGCATTTCTTTTTTTTATTGTTATGTTTTTATTTTGCATGAATCGCTCATGTACAACGAAGTTTCTTAGACTAACGTTTCATACCTACAATTATGACCATAATTCAGATAAAAACTATCCTGCGAGTTCCAAGCATTAGATCGACAGGATTGCCATAAGGATATAATTTCAAAAGCATTCCAGGATGATGAACTATTTTGACTCAACATAAACACAATATCTCTGCCGAATGATTCAACAATAATGATACTCAACGACTTCAGATCAATTTTAAAATCGTAAATCTGAGTCGAAATTTAGGGGTCGCAAAGTGGGGATTCAACAAGTCGACACTGCGCCCGAACAAAATACAGAGGTCTATTCCTAAAAGTGCCTTACAACTAAGGACTTAAAACAAACAAAAATCGCCCAAATCCAAGCCAAGCATGTGATACCTGGACTTGAAGCGAAATGTCGTAACGAAGAGGCAAAGGAAGTAGACTGCGTGGTCAGCTTATGCAGCGACTGCCTCTGATTCAACACCCAAGAAGGAGGCAACTCTCGAGAACTGAAAATTGTCGAGGATGAAGGCGGCATGAACGACAATGTGCGCAATCGGCATAACGAGGAGTACAGAGGCCGACGCAATACTCGCAGAGCCCTGGTGGCCATGGCTATCTTCCTCTACGAAACCCCAAATTCCTAAAACCCTGAAAAAACCCAGAGTCTGAGAACGCAGATACGACCACCCAAATGCTTACACCCAATCCAACTCTCACAACAAACCAGCATCAGACACAACGACGGGACTGGATCCAAATTGTTGCAGCTCAGTGAGTTCTGTACCCACACAAAGGCTTCAATGCGCGTGATAACCCTAATTCAGACTGAAGACTAATACAAACAAGCATTCGGAGATCGGATTCACGGCGAGCGACAGCACTGCAATGCAAGCATGCAATCCAGAGGCTGACGCAGCGAGTGAGACTCGGATAGAATCGCACGCACACATGCCATGCTGTGATGCTGCGATGCGATGCGATGCACCCACCACAACCACGGTGCTCCCTAACTCACTTTCCTTCCTTCCTTCCACACAAAAAAATCTTCAATTTTATCTCTATGCCAATCAAAACACTGCATCATCAGGAAATTGAAATATGCAAGGTCCTTCCTTGGATGGGACACCCACTCTCACCATAGTCGGTGATTGGCATTACTCTAGATATGTAGACATTCAACATCAATGTCAAAATTCTTGAAATTTATATCAAAGTAAACACATCATCACCATTCTGGTTCTTCCGAAGTTAATCGATCTTTCGCCCTATATCTTCACATGTATCTATATTTATCTATGTATATATATATATATATATATCTATATGTGTGTGTGTGTGTGTTTGATTATATACATGTCACTTCACACGTTGTTATTGCCATTATTCATTGATATAGAAATGAATTCCGAAGCAATGATTTTAGATAGGACAATATATGTAATAGATGCAAACAACTTTGTAATTAACAAGGTTAAAAAGAGTTCTTGTCTTGGAAATAAGATTTCTTAATGAGATGATCTTGATGGATACAACTTTTACGTCGAGGCAATATTGGGTAGTTGTTCAACTTACTGGGGCTTAGATTAGTGAGCACAACCTTGTGAACTCATTCATGGTTGAATGTCTGCTCAGTCTGTGATTGGCATTAATCTTGAAGATCTGCAGACATTGTGTAAAGATGTATTTTGTGTATTCATGAACTCATTCATCCAGACAAAAACATATCTTTACACAAGAATTTGAAATTATTGTGTGAATCCTCTCACACTATCTTTATACCAAGACAGAATATACATTATAAAAAAAGTGATTGTACAAGTAGACCTCATTAGTGAGAAGTCAAACCGACCAAATAAAAATAGATAATTGGTATGCTTGCAATATTTTACAAAAGTAACACTATTTATTTAGTGAATGCTACAAATGAAAATTCGATTATCTGGTATCGATTTTCCAACATGAAACCTCCTCACTAATTGTAATTAAAATAAAGGAGTGACTTAAGAGAGCGCCATATCCAAATGAGGTGGGGGGGGGGGAACAAACTGATCACGATGCGCCTATGAATCGAGTGCCAGCCGTCCAGCGTGGTTCGCCGCGCGCTTTCGAGCCACGCGCCATCGTACACCCGGTTGGATCACGCAACGCAAGCCTGCTCGACGTCGTCGTGCTGCACCTTGAAGAAGAGGAAGCAGAAGAGGGCGATGGCGGCTTGTATTTCCTCTTCTTCGTCTTCGTCTTCGGAGACCCACTCTTGTTGCTCCTCCTCCTCCACCTCTCCTTTTCCTTGCGTGAATCCTCCGTTCCTCCGATTTTTATCTTGTCGTCTGTTTCCCTTGCTCCCTCTCTCCTTCTCTTCTTAACTCCCACGTTGCTGCTTAGAACAATCGGTGCTGAATCTCCCAACATCCCTGTGGCGTGCCCTTCTCCGGCGCACTTTTTTTTTACACCCTTTGCGTACTCCCGCTTTGGTTTATGAGGTACGTGAGCTAGGGCTTGGGGATTCCTGGAGGCGGCTCTTGCTTGGTTGGTGCCGAGGGCAGCAAGAGGCGTTTCTCTCTCTTTTATTTTTTTGTTCCATCTGGCGGCCGCTTTTATGGCTGTAAGTTTGAGCTCTGTTGCATGTTTTTGAGTTGATTGGCTTGTAGTTTTTGTTTGTAGAATGATTGCGAATTCTTGTTTGTGGATCCATCTCCTCGGATGGGTTTAGATGCCGAAATTATTGGCGTAGATAAGTGACATTTTTAACAAAGTCGTAGTTTGGAGTACAGTGCCGTGTTTTATGATATCAACAGGGGAGTAGGTCAAACCAGGTTTCAGCTTTATTAGTCTGAATCGATTAGCATTGTTTGCGGCTTCCAGTTTTGAACATGTTGCGTTTTCGAACAGGTGTCCGATGATTTGCTCTAGCCTGGTTATTCTTAGCAGCGGTTGCCTTCCATAGTGTTCTTGTGTACGCGAGGACTACTCGCGTAGCGTATACTTTTACGTTTCCTCTGTATCTGCCTGCAGCTGCCACAAACCCTAGAATACATTCTAGGGTCTTCGACACTGGTCATCCTTTTATTTTGTAATCAGGGTCTTTCACTTGTTCCGCATATTCTTTCTGTTATGTGTTTGTGTCCGTTGAACATGTAGCAACGAAGCCCCAGAGATGTGGGATTGTGCGATTGAGATCCTTTGTCGGGCAACATGGCTATCGAGAATCATTCCCTTTTGTAGGGTCAGTTTTCATTATGTAATGTGATTATCAGTCGAAATGTACGATGTGCGCACTAAATCCTGATGTTGATCTTGAGTTAAGAGGTTTGATGGCATACTGTTTGTTGCATAATACCAAGGCCTCCTTCACTAGTGCATTCAAATAATGGATACCATTCCACCTTTGTTTCATTCTCCGAATACGACTTACTAATATGTCTTCTGTGTGGTCTTGTTCCGCAGCTCGAAGGAGAAACCGACCCTTGGGTACGTGTATTCATTCACATCCAGTTTGAATGATAGATTTCTAGTCAGATTCATAATAGCGATTGGTTTCGCCTTTTAAGGTGAATTTGTATTCCAGGATTTTTTGTCATTTTTTTGTGTTTTCGTTGAACTTAGATATTTAAATCTATTGCTGTTGAATGCAGTGGTACGCGGATCAAAACCCGCAAACGGAACATAGCGGTTCCGTTGGACACTGGAACATTTGCAGATGCTGTGGTCCAAATCTATAACGAGCATTCGGGAGACTTGGTAAGTTGGAAATTATAAGTTGTGCTCTCTGTTGTGATTATTTCTTAATCGAACCTCGTTGACCGGGTGTAATTAGTCACAATCTTTTAAAATTTTACGATAACAAAGTTAATTGACAGGTGTGTGGTAATGATGAACTCATGCAGGAGCTTATTGCCAAGGACGTCGATGCTTCAGAGCTCGACTTCTCACGATATGGAGAAACCTTTTTCGAGGTGAATTTCCCCCGTTCGACACGTTTGTATTACTACTTGTGCCTGGTGTAGCCGATTCTTTGATACGTATATGTTCAAGTTGCTGCGTGCTGTAACCACTTTCAAATCATCTTCTCAGTGCAAATATTTAGTTACTGGTTTTCTTTTATCAGGTTGTTTTTACTGGAGGTCGCAACCAGCCAGGAACAACCAAACCTGAGGAAGGAGAACGCCATCCTTACTCTGTTCTGAACTGCGATGACACGCGGGAGAGCATTCTCCCGATCGTGCTCTTCTTGCAGAAGATTATCAGGCGTAGGCCGTTCATGATCAAGACTCTTGAGAATGTGATGAAGAGGCTTTTGCAATCCTTGGTAAATCGTTAAGTTATGATTTAAGCAATCGTCATCAATAGATCTCTAGGCATCATTGCGTGTTGCATTCGTTCATGAATCTCACTGCTTATGGTTCTCTTTCAAGTTCGATAAGGAAGGAATGGTGTCATGAAAAAGTTGTTGCGTTTAGTGCAGTCCGCTCATACTGTTATATGTTACTATGTTCTTTTTATAGGAGTTGTATGGCCCTGAGGATCGCACAAAGTTGGCCATCTTTACGGCCTTGACGTTTTCTCAAAAGCTCTCAGGGCTGCCTCCTGAAACGATCTTCTCTGCGTTGATGAGCGACACTTTGATCTCGAAGGGTATTGTGCTGCACTTTGTGACTGATACATTCAAGGTCTACCTGGTGGAGAACAGTTTGGATGACTTGGTGAGTCTTCTGAAGCGTGCGAAGATGGACGACCGCCTGCTGGACCTGTTTCCCATGCAAAAGCGATCGATTGAAGGATTCGCTGAGCATTTCAAGTACGACCCTGCTCATATTCATTGGGTATAGAGCTTATTTGTCATTGTGAGTTTGGTGGAGGTTTTTGAAGATCAGTTGTGTTTGAAGTAACAGTATGCTGAGTGATTGATGTGTGTAGCAAGGAAGGCCTTGGTGTACTTGTCGAGTACAACACAAAGAAGGTGTTCGAGGTGAAGTTGAAGGAGCTACGCACAACGATGACTGATCAGATTGCGGAAAATGTGAATGTCAACGAGGTTATTGAGATGGTGAAGGCGAAGCGGAAAGAAGCGACGTTGCCAGACGTGGATGTTGTACGCACAATCTGGGATGCGATTATGGACGCCGTGCAGTGGTCCGGCAAGAACCAGCAGCAGAATTCGAATCTTGCTCTTCGCCAGGTTAGATGATTTATAAACTTGTCCGTGTTGGGGCATTTAAGTTGGTCTTTGTCTTTCCCAGGTATAGACTGTGTTACACATTTTACATGGGTAATTCACAGATGCCATTGATCTGCGAATGAGATAAAGTGCTCCGATTTGTTGTCAATCTGTGTGAACAGGTCAAGCAATGGGGCAAGCTTTTGGGTGCGTTTTGCACTACTGCTAGGCTGGAGATGGACTTGATGTACAAAATCCAGATTCACTGCTACGAGGATGCCAAGCTGATGAAGTTATTTCCTGAGATCATCAGAGCACTGTATGATCAGGATGTCTTGGCAGAGGACACAATTTTGAACTGGTTCAAGAAAGGGACCAATCCCAAGGGCAGGTGGGTGGTGTGACCTTGCCGTCCAGGGTAGTCAATGCGGTGGATTGTTATTGTTTAGGTTTTTGAGTTACAACTTACATATGAACTTATCACTGAAGCTGATGTACATGTCTTTTGTGACAGACAAACCTTTGTGAAGGGACTTGAGCCGTTTGTGAAATGGTTGGAGGAAGCGGAAGAGGAGGAGTAATTTCAAGTTCACACTAGGCCGTTGAATTGTTGGTAGCCATTGCTTGGGTGTAGTTCTTTGTCTTCATAAGCAAGAGAAGTTCGTGCTTTGGCCTTGTTACGGAGGGTATGGTAATTTATGGGAGAGCTTTGTCGCAGTTTTATTATGTAGTGTATGCACTTGAACCTGCTGTGTGTCTTTATATTTAATGGGTATTTTGTTCAACGGTACTCAAGATTATCGCCAGTGTCGCTCTGTTACAACTTATGGGGCATGCACGGTCATCTGATGTGATCACACTCTATATGTTCTAATGAATGGGGTATTCGTATTAGACGACGTTTCTGTCGTCTTCGCTTGCAGTTAACGTTTGTTTGAGTCTACATACCAGTAATAGAGATGGTATGTTCGTTGTATTCCGTAGCTTTATTTGTTTACTTTACTCGAAACGACTCGTATCAAATTTGGATGATTCTACATGCGTTTCCATAGATCTAGGTCAAAATTTGGTTTGGCCCTTATAGCCTCTGAATGCGTAGGTTGTGTTGAGATCGTAGTGCTGTCATACAGATGGAAATCAACAGAGCTACTCAGCGTCTAATTCAATCATTGTGCTTCACTACAAATTTCGTTGGTTAGTGATCAATGTCAAAGTAGTTTTCCTAAGATGTGGAATAAAGTTTGTTCATTCAGCACACAATGTGTCCAAGTCCAACGGACCTCTCCCGATTGTTAGCAGTCAGTGCCGGTTGATTGTAATGGGTCTTCACTGAGATATTGTCCTCTGAATAACTTATGTGTGTGGAAAACTCGATTGCGCATGATCTATTTTATCTGAGGGTCTGCAACTCTACCACCAATGTAGGTATTCACGCAAGGGAACAGATGACTGACCGAAAGTGTTCCTACCGATGCTAAGGCTAGAACACATGGTACTGAAGGGACAACATATTTGAGCAACACTGGTTGCTCTCCCACCTTCAATCTGTTGCATTGCACCCACTGCTACAGCTGTGAGGAAGTCTTGCATTATGTAATTGCAGCTTTAAGCATCCTTCTATTCGCTCCTTTAAAAATTATGGCGGTTGTAGCATTCAACTAAACCTTTCCAGATGCAGGTTTGGACTGTTGAAGAGGTTCACCTAGTGCAAACTTCGAGCCACATTATCACCAACGAGCAGCAGCATCATGAACTGATGGTTTGGACTATGGTCAACGATCACTGCATCCTTCGCCAACGATGTTCTAATGAGTCACAAGTGTTGGTGGTGAGCTCAAAATGTTATGGAAGCAGGCTCCCTGTGTCAATGTACCCCCTAACAACTCATTCATCTTTTGCAGATCGGACAGTTTGAAGACGTGTAATATTTATTTATCTTATTTTTATTTTTAGACGTAAATGGAGAGGATTGAACGAGCTGGCATGTGCCTGAGAGCCGGAAGTTCATATTTTCATAGGGGATGGATGTTTTCACTACAACAGTGAGCTTCGCAATTGCGGTGCTGGACATGTGGAGAGTGGCACAGTGCTTCATAGTTTTGTAGCAATTAAAACGTTGCATCAGTAGGAGGGTAAACACGACGGTCTACTTGCAGTAAATCAAATCAGCCCTAAGGCAGAGGATCTTCGTTAAGCCCCGATTTCGAATTTACGAACCTTCGTGAAACTCGTGGTTTATAAGGGTCTTCATCTACCTTGTTTTCAGCCCCATCGCCTGCACCAGCGATCGTTGCGAGTTCGGTCTGCGGCTGTTTTTACTTTCTCCACAACTCGCAACTGCCTTACCCAGCCAATTTCAACTCGCTTTCCAACATTTGAGGAATGCGAGAAAGTTCATGCGTGAGAGATCCCCTTTGCCTCTTATTCGTTCTTCGCCCACAATCCGTTTAGGAGATTTGGCAATGTAGCGCGCTTGTGATAAACAGTAGCCGAATATAACTTCTTACTCCAAGATGCAGGTTTGGGAATACCGATTGGTGAGAATGATCTTGTTTGCTGTCTTTTGCATGTGGTGAGCGATGCCTTTGATCAGATTGCTTTTGGGTTGGGGGTAGATTTTGAAGAGATTCTTAGATGCAATTGCTGGCTTCCTTAACGGCATTTTCTCTTATTAGGGAAGGAAGACGCATTTTCGGCAGCCTGGATCTACGCGAGTGTCTGCTCAATGTTAATATCTGCTGAATTAGTAACCATGCCGTCGTTGATACAATGGCTTTGGGCGGACTTCGCTAGAAATGCTTTGATGCGTAGAATTCTGCTTGTTCATTTTCTTACGTAGAATCTCAACGCCGCCGTAAGCACTCCTTCTCGCTTCAGAGCCTCATTGATGAGCTTTCCCGAGCGTTCTTCCACAGCTTATGGATTACATTTTCCTGTCCAATTACTTAGCCCCTGCCATGATCTCCTTATGTAGGATGCCAGAGAGATGAGAAGTTAAAAGTGGGAAAATCTCGGTGAAACCGCAGGAGAGCACTATCGACATAATGGGTATGTACAATCTCTTTCACAGTTTTGTTGTTTTCTGAAAGAATCTTGTTGCGTGATGATCTCATACTTCAGTCTGCCCCTCCTACTGTATAGAGGATGGAACTGTGAAGCCGAAGATGGCTGACGAGGTCAAGTACGGGTTACCCTCCGATTCCGTTGAAACATTGACAGGAGAGGCCCAGAAACAATTCGAGCGATTTGTTTCGGGTGCTCATCAAATGACCGCCTGTGCCCTCGCTGCAATTGAAGCGTGCAGCGCTGATGTTCCTCAAACTGCCCATCTTTTAGAGCTCCTGGTACTTACGCCCTCTCCACTCCTCCAATCCATTCGCTTCTCGCTCAAGTTTTCCGCTCAAAATCTATAGGTACAATCCAGCTTAAATGTCAAGGCTTGTTGCTAAGGAGTAAATTGCCGAGTTAATGTGCGATTGAATGTTGTCCCCTCAGGCAAAGCAAGGGAGTGACCGGCAAAAGAAGCAAGAATGCTTAGAGTTATTGCAGGCCGATTTCGAGAAGCACATGACTGAGTACGAAGTAAGCGTCTCTCTCTCTCTCTCTCTCTCTCTCTCTCTTACTCACACTCTCTCTTTCTTTGTAAAAATTCATGTGCAGTGTGCGAGACAGCTTCTTTTCAATGTCGATTAGCCTCTGCTTTCGAGATTGAGGATATTTATTCACCCAGTTCCTGATCCACCAGGAAGAAGAGAAAAAGTGCATGCAGAATTTGTGGGGATCGATGAGCATGCAACAGCAGGACATCCAAGTTCGCCTCGAAATCGGCAACCAGTTGCATAAGTTGAGGCTGCAGGTACCTCTACTGACAAAAAACTGCCGGGCTGTTCAGATTCATCAGCAGTTATGTGTCAAGTTTTTGGATATTATGCTTTAATTATTTTAACGAAAGCACTTCTTTGCGATCCTCACGTTTTGAAGCAGAAACAGAAGGTGGGTGAAGCGTTGCTATGGCTGGAGATCATGTCTGGGCCTCCTCCCTGACGCACACAGTTAGGCAGTATTATCAACCCTTGACTTACCCATCGCAAAACTTGTAGGAAAATAGCAGCTCGCTCAATTCGGAGACAGTCTAGAATCTGTGCAGATTTTGTCTCAGTAGCCTCACCAAGCTATATATTAGATTGTAAGATTGTATTGTAGAGTTTGGGTGGATGTATTAGTTCAGAAAGGGCCAGCATTTGCTTGCAGACTCTGAGCACACAGCAAGCCACGAGCATGTCATTTCGGCAATCGACCTTCCCTGAAGGTGAAACTAGAATTTTGTGTAGAGATTTTTGTTGAATCCATGAGTTAATCTTTATGTTTATACTAATTTAATGAAAGTAACTAAATAAATTAGATTTGTTGAAATTGTAACAATCAGGCAATGATATTCACCTTCAACTGCACCAACTCTCATCTAAATCTTTAGTTGATTTTACTTTTTAGATGTTTGAGCTTTCTTTTTTCTTAAATCTTATTTTATAGTTTAAGTGTGGACAAAAATTCAGCTAAAATCATTTTAAAATAGGATAATTATATTCGTAAAAATGATCATATTTATATACATATACACTATGCACAAAGTCATAATATTGTTAAAGATGAAATACTTTATTATAAAAATTAATTATTCGTATCTTTAATTAAATACAGTGTTAAAGTTCAATACTTCTTACCTTGTATTTTACATCTTACTTGCTTATTGATATTAATAATAAAATTATTACTAAATAAATTCAAGTGTATTAATATATGGATATATATATATATATATATATAGAAGAATAGACAATAGTTTTTGAGATTTACTTGATGTATGTTGGCTTCTAAACAATCTTTTTTAGAATTTGTAAATTTCAAAACGATATTTATTAAAATAATTCACAGGAAATATTTTTTATTTTTTATTTTTTGTCCATTTTGTAAATTTGTCTAATTTTGCATATTTTATAAATTGATAAGGAAATGAAATTAAAAAATAGACATTAAAGCTATCATCTAAGATAACTAATGTGTAAATAAGGTATTGTGGATTTTATTTAAAAAAACTCTTACTTACATAACTCATACACCTACAAAATGCCAAGGATTAAATTATGGTTAAAATGCCAATAAAGTAATGTCAAAAAGAAATTTTCTATTTAGATGTGTATTCAAAAAAATAAATTAAATCAAGTAACATATATAAATAATTATTTAAAAATACATCTATATATATATATATATATATATATATATATATAATTCTTTTGATAAAATTATTAGTCCAAGTGCAACAATCGTCACAACCTTCATCACTACATGTGTGACTTTGAAATCAAGTGTAATTTTTCAAACAATTTGCACATACAAATCTTAAAAAACATGTTTGAGTATTATTTTTATACTATTATAAATTGGTAGTGTTTAATTTGGCAATCAAAATTTCATCTTCTAAAGATAGTTTGTAGTTGTAAACTTACACCAAATTATTAAAAAAAATTATAAATACCAAAAAAAGATAACTATAGTAATTGGTAGAATGAGCATGTCTATTTATTGAATATAATTGAAAGGAAAACATGAATCAAAAGATTTTTCTAACTAATCTTTATTTTTTTTAAATATAAGGAAATAAATTAATATAAATATATATATATATATATATATATATATTGAAAGAGCAAGAGTTGCTATAAGAAGAGATGATTTTGTAGACATATAACACATTGTGACTTTTTTAAAAAATATTACTACATATTTAGATATTAGCACTACTCCAAAGATCTTCAGAGGCCTCAAAAACTATTTGAAATATTCCATTAGATTCTAAGACTTTCTTTTGTATTCTATAGTCGTCCTAAACTTTCTATAATCTTAAAAAATTTTCTAAAAAAATATTACATTGACTTTCAGATTATCCCTCAATTCTTAAATCTTCTCTGATGTTTCTATAGTACCTAATTATTATATTACAGATAAGAATTTGAAACAATGGATATCTTACTCTTATCAACACAATTTTTGAAACAATACAAGTGATGATTTGTTTCTAATCTTATACTTAGTTTTCTTTTTCATATATATATATATATATATATTAAAAATTAAATATAGGCATTTCATTAAAACAAGTCAATTAAAATATATATATATATATATATATATATATTTTATGTTCTATGATATATAATTAAACTAAAATGTCTTGTCTCAATACTTCTATTTTTGTGTTACATGTTTATAGATTAAAAAAATACAAGAATAAAGTAAGATTTAAAGAAGTCTTGGCGTTTAATTCTATAAATAACAATAATTATATGTTTTTTCATCTAAGATTTGGATTTGTGGAAGAACTATACTAATATCTACAAAAATTAATTTGTTTTATTGATTGACGTGGAAGAGCTACAAGTTCTTTTTGAATGTTTAAAAAACTTTGTTAGTTGGAGGGGTCGGATGAAAGTTTTTGACGAAACGCCCAAAACACGTTCATTACCTCCTCAACATCCATCAATCAATCTATCCATTCATCCATCAATGTCTGAGGAATGGATAGGGAGAATCCATGAAGTACCGGTTGTTCCCAGAGAACCCGCGAATCCAAAGACGATGGGAACGTAGGAGCTCGCTCCCAAGGATCGAAAGACTTCGACGGCGAAGACCTCGGCGAAGGAGCAGCAGCAGCGAATGTGTGTGCTTGAGATCCATCGCCGTCGCCGAAACTCGACGAAGCAGAAAAGGAGGAGGGGGGAAATAAAAGGAGCGTTAGATTTAATCGGCAGTCAATCCAGCAGTCAGTTATCCCGCCGCACTCCCACGCAACATCGCCATCGATTCGAAATCGACGCTCCCTCGTAAACGAATGAGAGAGTGACTGAGTGAGTTTCAAACCAGCTCTCTTCTAAGTTTGCCACAAAGTGCTGCCCCTGCCTAGCCTTCAATCCCCACGCCGCACCTGGTCGCGGCAGATGCGCTACAGGCTTCGCAGCCCCCTACCTAAAACAGCACCCTAACCCCCCCGCACCCCACCCCCTCTTGCAGCAATCGCTGCCTGTCACCGTCCCCGAGTTTTGGCCCGTGCTTCGAGCTTCCGGGAAGCTGCTTGCATCCCCGGGAGCAGCTTCAGCGCGCTTTGATGGATGCATTTTGGATAGGCTGCCACCAGTGGCGACGATCATGACACGAGTGGCCGGGCATTAGTCCAATTCGGTACTCTCCTCGTGGAGTATCTGGTCTTTGCTTGGGCGTCCGGCATCAAAGGAATTCGATAGTGCGTGCTGGTGCCCTGAGGATTGTGATTGAACAATCTTGGTGGTGTGCAAGTGAGAATACTGAGGTTGCTGTGAGGTTGACAGAGATGGAGACATGGTTGAGAGAGTTGGTGCTCTCTGACGTCGGAGGTTGTATCGATAGCTTGGCTTCTTGTTCCCTGGGCAGTTGTGGATCTGTGTCTTCATGGCCATAGCTCAAAACCGTTATGGTTCTGGTGTTGTTAGTTGCGGGGTAAGCCGGATTAGGTGCGAGATTGTGGTTAGTCCCTTGGTTTTGGTGCAGGCGCCAGCGCAATGGTGTTGGGATTCGATATGTCGTTTTTGCTACCAGAATTTTCGACGGTCGGAATGGAATTAGATTGACGAAGTTCATGAAGCCCTGTGGATACAAGAAAGTGTTCACTGCAAGCCTTGGGAAGTAACTCAGTGGATTTGAGGTTGAGTTGGCGAAATGGCGTCTCCTTCTGGTTTGCGAGAACCATCCTCGGAGACCTCGACTCCGATGAGGTCGCCACTCTCCAGCTTCATGAGGTCGCCCGTCTCTGCGAGCTCGACGATGCCGTCTCCTGTTTCGTCACGGTTGACAATAGAATTTAAAACTGCGTTTATGATGGAGGCAGAGGAGCCGATCCGCTTTGCTGGCACAGACATCCTTCCGTATCTTTCGCAGTCGAGTTCTTGCAGTACAAGTACAGACTTCGACACTCACAGTGGCGGGTCGAGATCAGGGTCCACCTCATTTTGTGACTTAAATGACTCGAATCGCATTACTCTTGCAAGTCTCATTGGACTTCCCGTGGCAGATTCGTTCAGAAATTTTGGAGAATCTCTCAGGTTTATCGCGCGTGGGGACAGTGTCCATGACAACGGAAGTATTCGGAGACTGGACATGCCGCCGCGTCGATCGAGGACGTGTAGTTTGTTTTCCGAGCTGTTTCGCTGGTTGCAGCGAACTAAACCCGATTACGTCGACAGCGCTCCTGTTGCAAGAAACCTTATCAACCTAAACTCCTTCACTATTACGGAGGTGTCGGAGGAGGACCAGGATTCAGAATGCGACACTGCCCAGGCTGTTTTCGAGAATCTTGTGTTCGTGGAGCGAGACACATTGGGAAGCCGTATCTATGAGTTCAATCCCCTTTACATTTCCGACTCCCTATCCGAGGTTGATCCCACTGAGTCCCGGAGCGCGAGTTACTCTCGGGAGATTACATCGGCGAGAAGTGCTCGGGATTGAGCTCACGGTCTGAAATCCAGCCGCCATCGCCGATGCAAGCCATCCTGACCAGCATTTGTTGCAGGCTAGCCGAGTAGTATCAGAGTGACTGATGCTTTACGGTTCGACAGAAGGGTCCGCTGTCGTGGACTCTCGCGGGTTCGTCCAATTTGTATCATATTGTATGAAGGGCAACAATATTTTTTTTGTCTGCGAAGCGGGAGTGCTTGGAAGCGGGGGTGGGGTTTTTGTTTTCCAAGAGAACCTCATATCCTAAAGTGAGCTTAGCTGCAAGAGGAAGTTGTCGGGAAGCGGTAGGCAAGTTTATCGAGATCATAGGAGAAGAATTGGTTGTGCCGCCTGGCTTCGGATTTTCTTTTTCTTGATTGTTTTCTTTTCCTTCCTTTTTTTGTCTAGTCTAGGACTCCTGTGGGAAGGTCGGAAACGCTGTGGCGACAAAGCTGTGTTCATAGGAAAGTGTAACGCCTTGATGATCAGATCGAACAGCATGTTCCTCCTACATGGCATTTGTGTGGCATTGTTTTCGCTACTCCGTCCTCGCACTTCGCTGTTAGATCCCTTGCTTTCACTTCCTCAAAGTTGGTGTGTCCATTCACGCGAAAGTGTATTTTTGTATGCTTTTATCTTCCAACTGTTACTTCTTCTCCACATCGTCAGTCCATTCGTTCGTCCGTAGGTTCGTCCTCCCTTCGTCTCCAATATTTTGTTGTGTTCTGCTTGTTGCTTCTTTCAATGTCATGTGGTTTATCTATTGTGGCCATTGCATTGTTCTTATCAATTCATTGTCAAAAACATTCTTTTTTCTTTTATAAATTATGATTGGTTTTTTTGGTAAAGAATGTGCATGCTGTATTGATAAAAAGGTATTGGTGATTTTTTGTGGATTT